CACAGGCTCTCAGCCATGCTCCTTACAATTGCCGTTACCTAAAGCGTATTTCCTTTAAAGATGGCAGTTACAGGTGGATCAATACGAATATATTGCTCCAACCATCCTTGCAGTAGTGAACCTGCGGTGATTTACAGTAAAATCCAGCTTCTTGAACTGGAAGTTGAATTTTCATGTGGGATCAGGCAACCGAATGCGGATATTAAACAATATTTCACCCAGTGGGTTAATGTGCAATGGCTAAAATAAAAATAAAACCCACAACCTGCGACATGTTCAACCTAAATCAGGGGGGTAGAGAACCGTGGAGCATGGAAAGAGGCTTACTGTGTTCCTAGCCGTGGTGAGAATTCACTTTTGCACTATTAAGGTTAAACAGCGCCTTCTGCACTGACGAGTGGTTATTATCATTTTCGGTTCTTGTTTTTTTCTTCTCCTTCCTGAGACAGGCTTTCTGTGTGGCCTTCACCGTCCCGACCTCGCTTTGACCAGGCTGGCCTTGAACCCAGAGATCCGCTTGCTGCTGCCCCCGATTGCTGGGATTGCAGGCGTGCACCACAGCCGGCTCCGCCAGCCTTCTCTCCGCAGGTCCCCGCACGCCACATTCCCGAGAGGCGTCCCAGGACTGCTTCCGCTGCCGTTTACGGCCTCCAGGCTTTCCCCCAAACGCCGCAGGGGCGAGCGTGGACGCCTCCTTATTGCACTTCCCTGACTGGGAGGCGGCCGCGTCGCCGCCCCGGGCTCCTCGGCGACTCTGAGGACGCGCCATCGCCCTCCCCGTCCGCACGCGCGGCTCCGCGGAGAAGTGCCAGCTCTCCCGGGGACCCGTGGTGGCCCCCGAAGCCGTGGCGCCTGCGGCCCCGGCGCTTGAGCGCGCAGACCGCGTCCACGGCGGGGACGGCCTCGCGCTCGGCCTCGCGCTCCGAGTGGGTGACGGCGCCGCGGGCCACGCTCTCCGGGGACGCCTTCAGCACCCCGCGGCTCCCCTCGCGGGTGAGGCCGGAGATGCCCCTCCCGCCCTTCCCGCGGCCGCAGAGGGAGAGACGGTGGGGGACGCCCGCCCGCCCGGCCGCCGCCGCTCCTGTACCGGACGATCGGACCACGTTGAGAACCGAAAGCGCGCGGGCGGGAACCCGCCTTCTTCGTCCCGGCTCGGCGCTGCGTCATTTCTGTTCTTCTCCTCTGCCTCCTACCGGCCCCTTACAGTCTCTTGCCTTTCCTTCCCTTTTTATTTCTTATTTTATTTTATTTTATTTTATTTTATTTTATTTTATTTTATTTT